GTTATCAGCATTCTTCTCCTACTAAATCCAAACCACAGCGCTGTGCCTGCTACTAGGAAGAAAATTAAATCTATCCCAGCCGAAACCAGGACACTATTACCACTCCATCGCACCAGCACATGGAAACCTGTCAGCTCTGCAAAGGGCAGAGACCTCTGCCTGCTGTGAAGGCCAGGGGACTGTAGGAGACGCTCACCAGCATTCAGAAAAAGGGGCATGAAGGTTTCGGTTTCCCTTGTGCTGCTGCTCATCCTGCTGCCACATTGGAGATCATGGAATCATAGAATGGTTTGGGTGGGAAGGGACTTTTAGAGCTCTTCCAGCCCAACCCCCTGCAGTGAGCAGGGACAGCTTCAACCAGAGCAGGGTGCTCAGAGCCCCGTCCAACCTGGCCTGGGATGTTTCCAGGGATGGGGACTCCACCACCTCTCTGGGCAACCCCTTCCAGTGCTCTGGGCAACCTGTGCCAGTGCTTCACCACCCTCATTGTAAAAAATTTCTTCCTTAGATCCAGCCTAAATCTACCCCCTTTTAGTTTAAAACCATTACTCCTTGTCCTGTCACAACAGACCTTGCTAAAAAGATGTTTGCTCTCTGCTGGGCTATGGGTGAGGTCATGGGAGTGGGAGATTCCCTGGTTTCTCTCCGGGCCACCAGGTCTGGGATGATAAATTTGCAATCCCTGGGCACTGCACCCATGCACCCCAGGTCTGGCATTGGGAAGGGTGCTAGAAAAGATGGATCCTCTGTTTTTCAGGGTGCAATTCACATCAGCCTGCTTTCTCCCATGCCTGACCACCTATATGCCCCCCTCCCCACCACAGCATTGCCTCCCCAGGAGAGGTGTGGGACAGGGGCTGTTCCTGGCCGGGAGTGTAACCACCACGGAGCATCTCTTCTGCTTCCTCTTGCAGGAACTACTTCCCCCTGCCATACTTTGAGAAGAAGCCCTGTATCTATATCAAGAGCTGGTGGCAGGACCAGCGCCGCAGGTTGTACAATGCCAACATCATGGACAAGATTGCAGACAAGCTGGTCAGTACGTGCTGGGGAGGGAGGGAGACAGTTTGGGGCATGGGGCTGGAATGAGGCACATCAGGCTCCCTGCACATCTCTGCAGCTTGTCACAAAGCAGGGACAAACATTGCAAGGACCCATTAGCAAACTTGTGCCAGAAAGGGGGAAGTTCCCCAATGCTAAATGCTCCACAATTGGAATGTCCAAATCCTAAGAGCTCATTGAATTTTCTGTGGGTCAGACCCAGGCGTCCCCACCGAAGGGAGCAGGAGCAGGGAGGCTCTGTCCCCCTGCACTGCAGGGGAGAACCACTTGTGTGGCAGAGCCTCCTTAACAGTCCTAGCTAATTCCCGAGGAGCGTTTGTGACAGCTCCGTGTTGGTAGGGTCACAGCAGGATCTGCAAAGGGACTGGCCACGACGGTGCGGACCTTGGCCAGCTAGTCTCATGAGGGGCGGGGGAGCCATTCCCATCACCCAGAACCAAGTCCCCACTGCCAAATACGTGCCAGACCTGAGCCCTGAGGCCAGCAGGTCTGAAGAAGCAGCAGATGTTTCCCACTGGCAGCCCCCACCGGGCTGCTCTATACAGGGTTGGACCTTGGGGGGACCTTGCCCCACCGCAAGGCTCTGTCCCACCGCCCCCTCACCGCTCCCCCCATCGCCGCTGCAGGAGGAAGGGCTCAACGACGTGCAGGAGATGATCAAGACGGAGAAGCCGCACCCGGAGCGCCGGCTCCGAGGGGTTCTGGAGGAGCTGAGCAGCGGGTGCTTGTGAGTAAAAGATGAGCAAAGGTGGCACACTGCAGATCCCTGCTCTCTGCGGGGCTATGGGCAAGGTTGTGAGCGTAAGCCCACCTTGCCTTACCCTCTGGATGATGGGCAAGCGTTTCATTGCATTGGCACAACACCGTATCAGCTGCCTTTTGGCTTGGAGCATGGGTGAGGCAGTGCTTACATCTGCACCCTGAAGACCCCAAACCAGTGGTGAAAGCCTCAGTCTTGTGGCCTCTACAGGCTGGTACCTGATCGACACCTACACCCCATGCATGACACTCAACATTGGGTGGAAACAGGCCACTTGGCCGTGATTGGGTTGCGTACTGAGGGTGGAACGAGGACATTTCCCTCCAGAGATGTGCCCTCCTGCTGGCAGGGATCCAGCTGGCCACGGCTCCCACGGGATTCTTGCTCTACCAAACTTTCCCACCAGGCGCTTCGTGACGTTGGCTGACAAGGACCAGCACCATTCTTCCCGCACGCGGCTGGACAGGGAGAGGCTCAAGTCCTGCATGCGGGAGCTGGTAAGTGCAATTCATCCGGGCATGGAGGAGGATTCATGAATGGGGGCTGGACCTTCTCCATGCAATGGGAAAATTTGGCCCTTAGGCATGCTGATTTCCCATCTCTGTGGATTGAGGGTTTGGGGTTTATTTCTGAAAAAAAGGAGCTCAAGAGCACTTGGGTCTTGCACGGCTCCCAGGTGGCATTTAGGTCCATGCTGCTCCCTCCCCTCCACCACACTCTGCTTTGCCTTGGAAAGAAAGACGGGAGCATGGAGGAGGAGCTGTATTGCTGTCGAACAGCTGAGGAAACTGGGAAGCAGTAATTTATAGACAGAATTTCATAGAATCATTTAGGTTGGAAAAGATCTTTAAGATCATCCAGTCCAACCATTAACCTAACACTGCCAAGTCCACCACTAAACCCTTTAAGGGCAGAGGAAGAATTCATTTCATGTTTCCTGGCTTAGTGGCTGCATTATTTTTTCATGAAAGTAAAACCAGGAATCACTGAGGTTGGAAAGGCCCTCTAAGATCATCAGCCCAACCATCACCCCAACACCCCCATGCCCACTAAACCATGTCCCCAGGTGCCACCTCTGCCCATTTTTTGAACCCCTCCAGGGCTGGGGACTCCCCCACCTCTCTGGGCAGCCTGTTCCAGTGCTTGACCTCTCTTTCCGTGAAGAAATTTCTCCCGATATCCAGCCTAAACCTCCCCTGATGCAACTTGAGCCCATTTCCTCTCATCCTATTGCTAGTTCCCTGGGAGAAGAGCCCAACACCCACCTCACTGCAACCTCCTCTCAGAGGAGCCTGCACAGCTGCTCCAGGGGTAGATATAGCCTAGATGTTTGGGGCTGGTAGCCCAGCTCCTTGCAAAGGAGTTGGAGGTGCAAAAGAGATGTACAAAAAGCAGGTGACTTATCCAGCTGGCACAGCCAAGGGCACCAGCTTCAGTAGCCAGCTGCATCCTACAGAATGATGAATTTAACATGTGAAAGCCTCCACGTCCCCTTTTCTGAACTGTCAGGTGCTGAATTACAGCAGGGTCAGCAGAAGGGGAGAGACTAGCCTTAACACCAGGCTTGAAGCCACCCCAAAATGCCCTAAGCACAGCTGACACCTCTCTGTCCTGTGTACCTTCCACTGGGACAGATGTCTCTGCACTGTCAGGGGCCCTGCCCTCCCTGCATCCTGCCAAGGGTGACGAACAGGTGTCAGAAGTACCATCATCAGGATGTGCGTGGTGGGATTAGGGCATCTGGCTCCTCACCACCCCTTCCTAAACACTGGGGACCTGCCTGGTGCTGCTCCCTTCTCTGTGCTCTGTTCTGCTCTTGCTTACGTGATGTCCTGGGCTCCCCTTTAACCACAGGAGAACATGGGGCAGCAAGCCACGACTCTGCGGTCGCAGGTGAAGAAGAATACCATGAAAGACAAGCTGAAGCTGGTGCAAAACTTCCTGCAGAAACTCCGGTTCTTGGTGGATGAGGTGAGTCCCTTTGCATGGAGAGAGCGTGTTGTCTGGGTCAGAGCATGCCAACAGCAGCCTGGGATGGATGGAGACCTCTCTGCAAACCCTCTAGGCAGGAGAGGTCCCCAGTGACCCAGGTCTTGTGCAAGGAGACACTCAAAGTCTACGCACTGCCCCGTCCTCCCAGGCTTGCCTGTGCGCTGCTGGGTTGGAACGAGTCAGCGCTAAAACAAATTTAAGAGCCCTTCCCAGCCTGTAAGAGAGCTGGGTCCTCTTGCAGCTGAGCTGAAGGCATTTCTGCCAGCCTCAGCCGTGGCAAGGCCATGCAATTCCCTGGGGGATCAGTCATCAGATGGTGGCACGTGTCCACACGGCGTTAAAGTCAGCAGCAGGGAGCCGTTTCTGACCCTGGCTAGGTAGGGAGTTGTTAAAGTGGCTCTTCAAAGGGCTGTGGGATAAAGCTCTGTCCTCTCGCAGAATTCAAACCATCTAATTTTTATTGCTGCAGTGTACTCTTGCTTCACTCCAATGTGTAAGAGATAATATCCAACCTATCACAGCTGCTCACAGCATTTCTAAAGGAAATATTTTCCAAATATCTGCAAAATATTTTTTCCTTCTTTTAGAAAATTACACCATTCCTCTGATAATTTTTACAGTTTAGGACGGGGTCAGCCGTTGGGTGTTACTGGCCCTCACGGGAGCTGTAGTTGTTGCACCTCCTGTTCTCATCTCCCATGGCAGGCTCCCAACCTCGACTGCGGGTCCCTTGTTTCAGCCAGGCCTTCCTTCGCTTTGACCACCACAGCTGAACGTAAACCAGACTATAAGGTGTGATGGGGCATGTCCAGACAGGGAACCTCTTCCATAGTAAGGAATGAAGGTATGGCCCCTGCCCCACAGTCCCCATGGCCATTGAATGAAGAGAAAAGGAAAATCTTTAGTCTTTTAATCCACTTTTTTTTAAAAAAAAAAAAACTAGAACAAATGTAAATCCCAGTTTCTTTCCTGCTAGGCTTCACCCTGCTGATCTTAGCTCTGAGCAGCTTTTCTTAAGCAGAAAATCTTCTGCAGTGGGAGGCTCAAAACCATTTCAATGGCCCTGATGTGGCAATAGCTACACCCATCTCCTGTGGCATCTGTTGAATTTGCCTTCTGAAGGTCTCCAGCCCCACTGTTGCCTCAGTGGTCAGAAAGAGCTGAGACACTGACAGGGCCCTTCGCTGGTGTTCGCAGCCCCAGCACACTATTCCCGACATCTTCATCTGGATGATGAGCAACAACAAGCGCATCGCCTATGCCCGCGTCCCTTCCAAGGATATCCTCTACTCCATTGTGGATGAGGAGATGGGCAAGGACTGCGCCAAAGTGAAGACCATCTTCCTCAAGGTGCCGATCTGTCTTTTCTGGGGAAACTGCAGCCAAGAGGAGGGAGATGGAGGAAGGACAGTCTGGGAGGATGGGAGATGAAGATGAGAGAGTTGTGTATCCAATTTTGCTGGGGCTTGAATAGTAGACAAAACAGACCCATACTCTGCTGGTAGGGGTGGAAGTTTGCTTCTAGGAAGTGTGAACCACTGATCTTACCCAGTCCAGTAAGTGAGAAATGTTTGGAAGGAGGGAGATGTTTGATCCAGCTGGCCACAAAAGAGGATGCTGGCTTAGAAAGAGGAAGCCAACGTGGTGTGAAGAAGATAATGCATGAGCCAGAGTAGTGTCATGATCCAAAATGTTGAGGGCTGGGTCCCTAGTTTTAAGGGGCAGCGATACAAGCAATGCACCAAAGGAGTTGAATGCTGCAAGAGGTGGTCTGTCCATCTCTAAGGCCTTCTCTATATCCATGTAAATTCTTCTGTCCTTTGTGCCCAGCTACCTGGGAAGAGGGGCTTTGGACCTGCTGGCTGGACAGTTCAGGCCAAGATGGAGATATACTTGTGGCTGGGCCTCAACAAACAGCGCAAAGACTTCTTGAGTGGCCTGCCCTGTGGCTTTGAGGAGAAGAAGACTGCCAGAGGCCAAAACCTGCTGTCCTTCCCACCCATCAGCCTCCTTTACACCAGTAAGAACTTCCTGACTGCAGTGGGTCTGGGCACAGGACATGGAGAGGGCAGGAGGGAGCCTGGCTGGACACCGCTTGGGCCAAGCTCTTCCAGGAGCTAAAAGGGAAATAATTCCAGTTGTCCCAGTCTGAGGTCCCCCACTGCTCCCATGGGGAGCTGGGGCATGGGAACTGTGCACCCTCTTCCCTACCCCATTATTAGCTGTCATTCTGCACTTGGTGACCGGGATGCTGAGGAAGTCCATATCCATTCAGGACTGACTCTTTGAGCCTATATCCTTCATCAGTGCTGGCCCTGAGCAAAAGCGTGCCCCCAAGACATCGCTCTGCAGACTGAGCCCCATGGCTGCGCTCCGGGGTTGCGAATCAAGCTGTCTCCCTTCCCCTTTCTCTTGCAGAGAAGCAGGTTTTCCAGCTGCGAGCCCACATGTACCAAGCCAGGAGTTTATTTGCAGCCGACAGCAGTGGCCTTTCGGACCCCTTCGCACGAGTCTTCTTCATCTCCCAGAGCCAATGCACTGAGGTAAACACCATCTCCTGACCTGGAGGGCTGGGCTGGGCTCTGGCGTTGCATGTCCCATCAGCTCTCCATCCTGCTCCCCTGCCACAGGTCTCGTGATTGCTAGTGAATCAAGGATTAGGTTGATCATGAGGTCCTGGGGTGGAAAAGCAGCCAGAGCACTGGGGCTTGACTGTCTCCAGGAGCACCTTCCCCAGGAGCACCTTCACAACATGTCCCCCGCACCAGCAAACAGCTGTCCTGTGGCCACAATTCACCTGCCTGGTTAGGAGAAACTGGAGCAAGCTGAAGCGGTTTTTCGTAGAATCATCAAATCATTTAGGCTGGAAAAGACCTTGATCATCCAGTCCAACCATTAACCTAACATTACCAAGTCCACCACTAAACCAATTCAGGGGACAGGAAGAATTCATTTCATGTTTCCTGGCTTGGTGGCTGGATTATTTTTTCATGAAAGTAAAAACAGGAATCACTAAGGTTGGAAAGGCCCTCTAAGATCATCAGCCCAACCATCAACCCAACACCCCCATGCCCACTAAACCATGTCCCCAGGTGCCACCTCTGCCCATTTTTTGAACCCCTCCAGGGCTGGGGACTCCCCCACCTCTCTGGGCAGCCTGTTCCAATGCTTGACCACCCTTTCTGTGAATAAATTTTTCCTAATATCCAATCTAAACCTGCCCTGGCACAGCTTGAGCCCATTTCCTCTCATCCTATCACTTATTCCTTGGGAGAAGAGACCAACCCCCACCTCACTACAACCTCCTTTCAGGTAGTTGTAGAGAGCGATCAGGTCTCCCCTCAGCCTCCTCTTCTCCAGGCTGAACAACCTCAGCCACTCCTCATAAGGCTTGTGGTCCAGACTTCTGTGCCTTCCCTTCCCAGGCTGAGGGCTGCCAAGCTTTAGGAAGCCTGGTGGACACTGGAAATAGTGTCTGCTTGCCTGTTGTTGGGTTTTTTTCTCAGAAGGGTCCTTAGGAGATATCCCATGCCTCACCAGGCCAAAAAAAATGTGCAGCATCCCACTAGTGCTGCCAGGCAGCTGAGACCAGCGCCCTGTCTGCTGCCCTTGCCCAGGGCCCTACCTGGAGCAGTAAGTCTCTCTCCCATTCTTCCAGCAGACCAGCGCCCTGTCTGCTGCCCTTGCCCAGGGCCTTAGGCCCTACCTGGAGCAGTAAGTCTCTCTCCCATTCTTCCAGGTTCTCAATGAGACCCTTTGCCCAACCTGGGACCAACTGCTGGTCTTCGACAATGTGGAGCTGTATGGAGAGGCCCATGAGATGCGGGATGACCCTCCCATAATTGTCATTGAGATCTATGACCAGGACACAGTGGTAAGATGAATCCCAGCAAAGGAAAATGTTTATTATTGAGATGCTACAATCACTCCTGAGTCGGAGGCAAGGCAGATGGTGCAGAGGATGTGAGAAGTAGCTTTTCTCCTGACCCTTGGAAGATGGTCCCTCCACATCTCCCATGGCATGGACTAGGAGCCTCTGCTGCTCGTTAGATCTCAGGCTCAACTTAATGATATTTTATTTTTGGAGAGTGAAGCAAGAGCTTTTGTGAGGCTGGGGCCAAGGAGACATTACCTCAGCCTTTCCCTTTAGAAAAGCTTCTCAGCCCTGGCCTCCTTGCTGTCCCAGCCCTAGGCCACATCCTTCACCTTGTTTGAAGAAGCCAGGAGTGAAATCTGGCACCGAGCTTTGGTGTCCCAGGCCCACTGGGCTGGTCCTGTTCTCACCGCGATGGGGAGAGCTGTGGGACTAACTTGGGAGACCTCGTGTTGGGTCAGCAAACCCAAGTGTTCTCTTCACCTCTCCAGGGCAAAGCTGACTTCATGGGCCGCACCTTTGCTAAACCAGTGGTGAAGATGTCGGATGAGCACTACTGCCCGCCGCGCTTCCCCCCACAGCTGGAGTACTACCAGATCTACCGGGGCAACTCCACAGCGGGCGACCTGCTGGCTGCCTTCGAGCTGCTCCAGGTACCAGCTGGCCAAAGCCACCCCAGACCGAGGGAGGGAAAGGATGGGAGGGAGGTTTGCAAGGGAGCAAGGCTTAACCTGTGCTTATATATCTCTAGGTGCTGCAAGGAGCGGGTAGTTCATGCACCCTAGAAAAGCTACAAGGGTTTAGCACTGCTACTAACCCTGTGAGAGGGCAGTTCCTGCCCAGTTATGCAGCTCAAGATGATGGGCTGTGAGTCCCATGCATCCTGCTGATCAGGACACCCCACTAGAAGTGTTGCGTTAGCCCAAACTCTTCATTACCACTGAGATATGGGGAGTCCCGGTGTTCTCAGAGATGCCAGTTAGAAGGTCTCAGGAAAACGGGGTGTGAAGGTGTGAATTCATAGCAGCATCGCAAGAATATGGTGAAATTTTAGCCTGTGGGGGTAGCAGACTTAAACCTTCCTGCTTTCATGCTTCCTTTCTGTATGGGTGTGTCTCGGCAGACTCCTGGTGCGCAGGGAGCATGAGACCTCCCAGCTGAAAAGAGAGTGGCCCCAGCAAATTCAGCGCAGTGCTGGTGGGTTCGGATGTGCAAGGAGTTGTTGCCTTTAAGTAGTAGATCTTGTTATACTAATGAAATATAGTCCTGGAGTAGCAGTGAAGTAATGCACGTTCTGCTACACTGATAAAATGTAAGAAGGAAGGGAGAATGGCTAAGTGGCTGGTTGCTGGCCTTCAAAGATAAGGGGACGGTAGCACAAACAGGCATGCACAAAATAGGAGAAACTGGGTAAAAGGTAATTCGGGCAGGGGGAGATCGCGACCACCAACCCGATTAAGGACTGAAGCAAGTACCCCCCACTCCTCCTGCGCAAGCGCAGTGAATTAAAAAGACACTATGGCTTTAAAGACTATGCGAGAAAACTGTTAACCAATGAAGATGAGCGCACGAAGACAGGTTAATGATTATGTATTAGAAAGGTGTGGGAATTGTATATTCAATGTATAAATAAGGGAATGGAATCCAAACTTGGTGGGCTTGATTTGTGGTGTTCTTCCACCTTGCACCCTGCGCAGAATAAAGCAATATCTCCTTTCAGAACCAGTTTTGGTTTTGGGAGCTTTATTTCCAGGTAACAGACTGACCTGCTACAGACACCTCTAACGCAGCTGAGCACCAGCCAGGGGCAGTGGTCCCAAGGCTGGCCTCGCATCTGTGTGTGCCGGGAGCCCGCAGTGCCTGGGGAAGTGGACCCTTGGGGACTGCGTGCTCCCTCCACCTCTGGGTGTCCCCTTTATTTCAAAGGAGACTTTGCTTTACACGCCTGTCTGTCTGTCTGCAATGTCCGCAGATGCCCTATGACGATGGCAAGATCACGGCAGCCTTGCAGGCTGCTGCTGAGCCTGGTGTCCCATTCCCCAAGATGCTTGTCCTGTCTCCTTTGCCTGCCAGGGCAGGTGCTCATGCAAGCCCTTTTTTTTTTTTCCCCAACTTTCCTTGCAGTGGGGTGGTTTCTCTAGGGACTGGCTCACATGGGATACTTGATCATCCTCATGCCCCGGGTTCAAAATGGGACCTGAAATCTGCTCCTGGGCTGAGCTCGTGGACCATTTCTGCATCTCTTCACACCCAACCCAGCCAGATGCAACTCCTTGCAGGCGGAGAAGGAACAGCCCTGGGACTGGGGTGTGTTGGTGGGCTGAGAAGTTGTTCCTGCACCCTCTGAGACAGTGCAGACCCAATGCATGAGGCCAGGCTGTGCCGGTTACAGCTGAGACTGACAAAAAAATGCTTCCTAGCAGCTGAGCACCAGCTCAAAGGAACAGATCCTAATCCATGCTGCATCTCTTCCAGATTGGCCCTGGGGGCAAGTCAGACCTGCCACCAATCGATGGCCCCACAGACATGGACCGGGGCCCCATCCTGCCAGTGCCACTGGGGATTCGGCCAGTGCTGAGTAAATACAGAGTGGAGGTAAATGCCTTGGAGCACCAAATTTTGATGTTCAGCCTTACGTGAGGCAAGAGAGCCTGTCGATGGGTGTTTGAAGGCCAGGAGGGATCTTTGAGGTTCTGATGACTAGCTGGGCACTAAGACTGGTCTTCCACACATCTGCAGCTGGTTAAACAAATCTTGTTCCTCTGATGTGCAAGGTGAATACAGTCATGGGGAATCAGAAGGTGGAAAAAATCTTGGTTTAGGGGAACTTTGGTCATGGTGGCAGTCTGTTATCCTAAGAAGGGAGAGGCCAGTTTCCCCAGTGATACAGATACCATTTTGACAAAATGATGCCAGCGCTGAATCAAGAACCACTGTAGGTGGACAAAGCTGGTCTGGTCCTGCTCTATGGAGTCCCATGGCAGAAAAAGGCTAGAAAGGGAGAAAGGCAGAAAAGGGACTGTTGAGGGCAGCAGGTTGGAGATCTTAGGCTGCTGCAGATCAGGTGTGGGGTGTCAGAGAGAGACTGTGCTGCAGCCCTGAGCCATGTGGAGGAGGAGAGGATACCTTAGGGATCTACCACTGCCCAGGTGATGACTTTTTTCAGCAAAGTCCCTTCTCCTGGGGGATGTGGAGAACCAACTCCTTTGGCTCCAGCCTGGCTCCAGCCAGGGGCAGTCCCTCTCACACTCATGCTTTTCCTTCTCCTCCTCCTGCCCTAGATCTTGTTTTGGGGGCTGAGGGATCTGAAGAGAGTGAACCTGGCCCAGGTGGACCGGCCCCGGGTGGACATCGAGTGTGCTGGGAAGGGGGTCCAGTCAGCCCTCATCCAGAACTACAAGAAAAACCCCAACTTCAGCACTTTGGTCAAGTGGTTTGAAGTGGTGAGTGTTTCCTCTTCCCCCTGAGCCCTCAGCTGAAACCCAGATTTTCTGGAGCCTAAACCATTGCTCCTAGCCCCTTGCTTCATTTTCCCCACAGCAATGGAGGACATGACCTCCATACCAGTTGGTGATGGCCTTTGTCTGAAGGCTCCCAAGCCATACTGGAGCAGCTCCAGACCTCTTCCTCCAACATGAGCCCTGTTTTAGTCCCTACTGGCCTTTCCAACTGCCAATGTAGACATCCCACAGCCCACACCTGACCCTTGATGACCAGCACACCTTTGCTTCCCAGGACCTCCCAGAGAATGAGCTGCTCCACCCACCCCTCAACATCCGTGTGGTGGACTGCCGGGCTTTCGGGCGTTACACCCTGGTGGGGTCCCACACTGTCAGCTCCCTCCGAAAGTTCATCTACCGCCCACCAGATAAGAAAACCCAGCACTGGAATATGACAGGTACCAGGCTGGGGCGTGGGGACCTGGCTGGTACGGGTCATTGGTGGGGCATCGCACACAACTGAGGGGCAAGGAGAAGAGGGAGATGGGTAGAGGGTTGTAAGGACTATGGAATATTGCTTGTTAAGCAAGCAGTGCTTCATGGATTGGGTCAAGGGGGCGAGAAGGCACAGGGTGTGAGGCCATGATTCCCCTTTGATTTTTTGATCTGTGGGTCTCATTGTGATAACTGCTTGCTCCCCCTGATACCTGTAAGACAAGAAAGTCTGGTTGACCTCTAACGTCTCTGCAGCTTCATGACTCTACGCTCCCCAAAAGTTCCTCAAGACTAGGAGCTGAATTTGTCATGCTCCGTGCTTGCTGCTGCTATTATTTGAGTAAAGACTAGAAAGCTACAGACTGAGGCCACATTCTCAGTCCCAACCACCACCCCATCTATCAGCACCCACAGTGAAAACCATCACAAACCCACTTTCCCTGCACCCAGCACAGCAGCCGAGGGCTTGGTGAGCTGCAGGAATTGCTCGTCTCCTCCCAGTCCTTGGTAGAAGTGGAAGCACTCTTGGCTGGGCAAAGACAGAAGGTCTGTGGGGGGATTGCCAGTGGCCATCCCTGGTTACAGCCAGAGGTCTGGACCTGTGGTTGTTTCCATGCTAGCTGATACCTTCAGGGAAATCATCTTCTCTGCTGCTTCTCCTCTGGAGGCTGGTGAGGGTGAAAAAGCCAATCCTTTCATAATCATCTTCTTTCCTTTGCTGTGGAAGGGTTTTTTAGTCATGCTGTAAGGGCCTGTGCTCATTTCCACCTCTTCTCTGAACAAGGTGGTCACACATCACTCCTGCATGAGCTCTGTAGGATCTCACCTGAGCTCTCAGTTTCTCCTCTACGCTATCCTTCTCTCTTGTTCTTTCTCTTTCTCTGTCCTCTGTCCAGCTAAACACCTCAATGGCTGTCTGGCAATGGCCAACAGGGCCCATTGCTCTCGCCCCACAGGGGAGATCGTTGTCAATATGGAACCTGAGGTTCCCATCAAGAAGATGGAGACGATGGTGAAGCTGGATGCTGTGAGTATCCGTATGTCAGCACCACTTTAGCATCTCTTTTCTCACTGAATTGCCAATCTCTGAGGAATTCCACCCAAACAGAGGCCGCCTTGTCCTGCTGCACATGGGATTGGGCTGATGGCTGGAATGAAGGGCCTTGGGTCATTGTCAGTTCTACAAATTGGCCTCTTTCTGTCCTGGCTGAAATTAGCTGGTGCTTGCTGCCCAGAAAAGGGCTGTCCTGGGCTATGCACATTAGACAGCTTTATGTTCTCTTTCAAAAACGGTTGGATGGGAATGAGCACAGCCCTGTCCCTGCCTGTGACCAAGGCAGACACACAAGTGAGCCATCAGAAATTCCCCATCTGCACAGCTGCAGCGATCCTCCCCTTTCAAAGCACTGCACGCTACGCAGTCTCTGCAAGCAGCCAGGGTCACATGGATTTCCCTGATACTTTTTCCTTTTTACAATAGTTTTGAGGCATTCAAACAGCTACGTCAGCTCTTTGAAATGCCCGTTCAGCAGTCCAGATGGGTGGTCAGCGCGGTGTTGCTGCACAACCACTGTACAGCAAGCCTGAGCCGTACAGGACACAGCAGATACACGTGGCACAGAGCTGATCCAGGCACACAGAGTCAGTCTGAGGCAGCCAAAACTCTTTAGACCTAGTGTGCTTGCCCTGGAAATTGGGCACTGTATGCATTGGAGAGGCAATGTGTCCCAGAGGTATCAGGCTTTATTCATGCACTGAATGTGCCTGTGCCCATTTTCTTGCCCAGAACAGGAATTTCAGTTCCTTCTCATATTCGTTCCAGAGCTTCCTCTGCAAAAAGAAACAGATTTCTTTTTGTAGGAGGCTCTTTGCAGCAACATGCACACACACGCCC